AAAAGAGAGAGAGACAGAGGGGAAGGGGGAGGGGGGCAGGTCGAGGACCTGAATGATTATGAGATGGGCGGATAGTACGCTGTGATGGCGGCCTGATGAACTAACACACATGCTGCATCGGTGACTATCAATAGCACGTCGATTAGTGAGCAATTTAGCAAATATTATTATAGATAATAGAGTATCTGCCTTCTGAATAAAAATGTTCCATGTGTTTTAGGCAATAAATAAAGTTTTCTCAACTACCGTTCAATTAAATGAAGAAATAAGAAACTTTCGAATCGAATTGATAAACGATAAATAAGAATAAATAATCGCTTTGATATATTACGTTATTATATCTATGCTACCAACAAAGCGATATGAGAAATACGAGAAATTAAAAAAGAAACAAATCTGACAGGTTTGTGTATTCAATACTCGCTGTACTTCTATTTTTTTTTCTTTTTTTTTCCTGGAGATAAATGCCTTGTATGTATCGATGACATCATGGCAATGAATTGATTTATAGAGTCAAATGGAAAATCAGTATGATCCTCCCATAATTCACATAAAATTAATATCGAGTAATTCAACACGTGGGCACGTTTACAGAAACAATTTAAAAAAATTAGTAACAAATTGCTTAATTATTCAGAGGGGAATTACATTAATGCGAATTACACCAGGATGCTAAAGGATAATTGAATCGTGCGGTTTGACCGAAATGTGTCAGTGCCATTTCACACGCGTAACGATTTTGCAAAGAAAGTTTGATTATTTTCGTATGATTATTGACGCGAGGATGTTATGTAAAACAAATGTTTTCAGACGCTGTGCCGCAACCGGCACTTTATTGATCTTGATAATGCGTATACGATGACTCAAAGTACACGCATGTGCGTTTCGTCTGCCGATAGAGCGAACGGATAAAAATATTTCACCAACAGAAAAGTACAAGACAGTTCTGTGCGCGACAGGTGGTATGTGGCACGTGGAATTATGAATGAACTGTGAAAATCGACTTTTTGGTGATAACGCGAAAAATATCAATGTGTGAATAATTAGTCGCTTATTATTATAATCGCGTATTTAAATAAATATATATATAGTGTATCGAATCGATTAAAACATTTATTCCTTTTTTTCCTACGTGATTTTAAAAATAATGGATCAACGAATAAAAAAATTTTTAATTAACCCGACACCCGATGTGATATTCTTTTCATTTTTTTTATGCTAATAAAATATGCTAAGTGATACATATTTCCGTGATTTTATAACTTTTATTCATGTGATATTTTACGATTTAGGTAATTAATGCGATGATGAATACAATAATCACTTTTTATAATAATTATTGATTTTATTATTACTAAATGTGTGTCACACATACACATTACCTTACCTTATAATTATAAACCATCTCCGTAAACATACTTCTTTAAAAGAGCGAAAACAATTTCAAATCAATTTTTGTTATTCTCATTATTTAACTTTTAACGCGATTTCTATCCCAAACAAGCAAAATGTGCGGAATATTTCTATGTCTCTGACAAAGTCTGATTACCACACTCTCTCTCTCTCTCTCTCTCTCTCTCTGTGTTCGTCTTTATTCTCGTCGTTCTTTCTCTCTCGTTAGATCTGCACAATACGAATAAGCGATCACTCGGTCGTGCAGATTGCTCTTGATGCACGGTGCTTACCGCTTTAAGCCTCTCTGAGAACAACGCGCAACCATGAGAGAAAAAAAGAGGAATCTTTTGCGTTTTGAGTAGAGAGGCTCATGAGAAGCTTGTGCCTCCATTTCCTCTGATACCCGCTGACAAACGGAAATAATAGCCACCGCTGTTGCTGTTAGAACGTCGCCTCTCTATTTTAGGCTCTTTGCTCTCGTTCACCCTCGCTCGTGATCCTCCCCCAAGTCCCGTATACGGTACGAGAGACCCTTATCGTTACACCTGAAACACCCATCGGTCTGTCCGGCGTGCATGCCGAGAACCATCTTGCATGCCGCTCCGGCCGGATCGAAGAGGCCACGGATGGGACGAGAAGTCACGTGCATCTCACGGCATACAGACACGTGGTAACGTATACGGTGCGGTGATATCCCGTCGGGCGGTGCACCACGTTCTGCATCTTATCCAGAATTCGTTAGGAATATTGCCTAGCCCGGCTGTCTGGTTCTCTCGGCGGTCTACGCGATATACAGTCTAGGATAGGTTTACCAGCAGTGGAGTAGACGAGAGGGAAAGAGAGCGAGAGAGGATGGAGGAGAGGAAACGAGAGCAAGAGAGAAAAAGAGGAGGAGAGGGGGAGAGAGAGAGAGAGAGAGAGAGAGAGAGAGAGAGAGGAGAGGAGAGGAATCAGCTCCATCTGGTCGGAGATGCATAGTGTATTGGCTCTTCGTACGAGTGTATGTATGTTTATATGTGTATGTGTATATACTCGCAGTGTAGACAGGTCGTTGACCTCGCGGCGCGCAGCACTCTGCGCTACACGTATTCCAAACTACACACAAAACACACAAAGCTGACGCTTTACAGGTCGTTTCGAATTTAATCTGACGAGTCTTCCTCCACGCACGAGGAGGAAGGGTAGAGCGGGGTTGCATGCGCAATCGGCGACCGATGAAGAAACTAGCCTGTCTCGCAAAAGAGAACGCGGGGGGAGGGAGGGGGGTGAGGGAAGGTGAGGGAAGAGGAAAAAAAAGGGATTTAAGACATAGTGGCGCGAGGAACCGACGACGACGACGACGACGACGACGACGAGGGCGTGAATGGGTAAGACGGAGAGAGCGGGACGATCGATCGGTTACAAAGCGAGCGTAAGATAGCGGGATTGGCTCTCAAGAGGAAGGAACGATCCTCCTTGGCTGCTTCCGGCGCGACCTCGTAATACCGATCGCTTCTTTTGTCTATGCGGGAGTTACATAATTCTTTCCCCCAGCCCGTATTCTCGGCTCGGTATTGCCAGCTCGTTCTGCCCTCATAAGTTCCCCGCGACCGAATTTCGAGTATCGCCCAATGATTTCATCCGCCGTGAACTTGATCGTATCATCCCACGATTTTTACAGAGTTATAATAACTAACAGATCATTCCTTCATCTTCTTCCTTCGAATTAAGTTCTTGAAATGCGATTTTTTTTATTAATAATATAATATTGCACTTTATTCATTGAAAATTATTTATTAAACATAATATTGCACTAAATTTTATTAAAATTTTTTTTTCCTTCAAGTTGCTTTTATTTGTTTTGAAAGGTTGATTTAAGAGATATGTTAACAGGTCGTCATTAGATTTATTGAAAAACTTCAAAGTTTCAATTTAAGCGGGAGCCTAAAACTTTGTGCATGAGACTTCAACTCCGAAGGAACGACCTAATTAATCACAGCTGCAAAACATCGTGATGTAACGCGATCTAAGCCGAAATTCCGTCGATGCCATTAGGTGTGAAATGCAGTCGCAGAGAGCCGCGGTTTCTTACGCGATTCCGGCAGACGCAAGTACGTACGGCGGAAACCACTTGTACTGCAATGGTGAACACACTTTCTTCCTGTAATTCCGCGATGGGTCATCGGCGGTGCAAGTCAACACAGGACATTGACGCTTACTTTCTATAATTAAGCTGAAAACCACATACGGACGCGCATAGGAACAGCATTGTTTCTAATCTTATATCTGATTGAGCATCCGTCGCAGCCTCAAAGCATTCTCGCATATATGCCGGCCATTGCAATATATCGCACACGTTTATTTAAGATTTAATTTTAATGGCTTTTCTTCATCATACTACTTTCTCTCAAACAAATATATTATAATAAATTAAGCCTAAGTACACATATTAATTTCGCTTATGTGAATTGCTATTATATAAAAATGATGATTTTAAATTACAAGATTGTAATATAGCATTTTTTTTATTTTAGGCTTGAGTTTCTGGGGAAGTTTAATAGATATTGTTATATTCTTATTAAGCAATATTTCTGAAAACTAGAACAACACAAGCGCGTGGCATGCATTCTTATTTCCTATCACCATGTATTTTTTTTAATCATAAATATATGAAATCAAATATATTAAATTTATGGAAATATGATGTATGAATTCTTAATTTTAAACAATTCGCGTAATCGGCATGAAGATGGATAAACCGTCTTTACGACACGAAACATTGAAATACATTTAAAATACGTGTGCTGCCGCATACTTCTCGGCCTCGTTAGCCCCGTTGAAACAGGAAATTTCGACGAAGCCGCGTTTTATCGCGTCCAAGTTAATAATAGACCGTTGTCGCCGATAGTCGTAAGTTTCACGCAAGAAGAAATGATGACGAGGGGTACCGGGGCAGCTGCTCCACCGCTGACATCGGTGCGATGTGCGATAGCGCGTTGCGTGTGTATGACACGCGCACGGGCAAACACGTGAAAACAGATGTACGCGTAATCGTATGTACGCACTCGTAGAAAATTTATCGTATCTTCGACGAACGTGAGACACAGATACAACAATCTCTGTATCGTATGCTACTTTCAACCGTTTGCTTTGCTGACACTGAAATAATAATAACGTTGCTTTCAATCGTTTCTTGATCCAATAGCGAATTAATTGAATTAACATGTAGAAATTTAATATAAAAAGTAAAATATAAAAATAATATAAAATAATATAAAAAAAATTTATCGATATGATATCTCGACGAGATAAATCTATCTGTTGTGTGACCAATGCTATTTACAGCTCATCAAAAGTAATATTTTCTTCACAGAAAAATCCACGTAATAATATTATTTACATATTATATTTTAATATTCTTATAATATTAAACAAATATTACGTTATATCACCGTCTGGAAACTAAATAATATTAACATGTTTTTTTTTTATTGTTTTATTTATTTATTTATAATTATGAAGTGGATATTTCGTTATCACACGTTTATCGTTGTTTCATCAGCTTTCTATTTCTATCTCCTTTTTACTATAAAATTTATCTTGCAATCTATTTTGCGATTATGTGCCGTGGGAACCTCACTGCGACCTATTTTTCAAAAGTCTCGCAGCTCATCGGCGCCGTGCGTGAAAGTTCTTATCGATCGTGGAAATTTTTTTAAATTCGCCAGCGAAGCGCGAGACGGGGAAATACGTACGTGTCAAAGGCCGGCCCTGACCGGTTGGTACCGGCGCACAGTGGCGTGCGGATAGCCGTTGGCGTGCACAACGCCAGAAATTGGCGGTTAAGAAAGCTAGGCTAAATCATATCCTGTCATAATTGCTCGTAGTTTAACCTAATTCCTGTCCGCGGCCCACGCGGCCACCCACAAGGCACTTTTGTTTCGTCAGTCCGATTCAAGGACTATCGCGATCGATCTGGTTGCGAGAGATCGGTCCATTGATCGAATTAGCGCAGCGTTACGTGAGAACATTTATCGCGGGTTTACGTTTAATATAGAGAAAATGATCGATGCTCGTTATATTTTATAAAAGAAAGAAGATTGTTCCAAATATTCGATATGGAAAATTCAAGGCGGATACATGTATTTCCCATGTCGGAGGGGGAGGGGGAGGGGGGGGAGAGGAGGGGAGGGGGAAGGGCGTGAGAACCTGAGATCTGATCTTTACTACAAACGCATGGCGTTTCAGGAGGGGCAAGTATGTTCCTAGTCCATCAAATCTCCCTTTCCCCGTTCTAGTTGCGTTTCTCGCGAGCTCTCCTTGAACGCAGACAATCGAACGACAGGACAAAGGCGTTGATTAAAAAAGGGGGTTTAATCCTTGGATGCAGTTGGCCGTAGGGTAGGTAGGTAGGTTGTTAGGTTGCCAAGCGACAAACCGTGCGTTGACCTACCCTATCGTTCGTCACGAGTGCAACGTGTACATCGTTGTCATGGATACTGCGTATCCCTGCAGCTGAGAAACGATCATCTTCGAGTTGTTACGCATACTGTCATCATGAGAATTTTTTTAATATCGATCCGATGTCTCTTGGCATAGGCTAATAAAAACGTCATCGGATCATCG